ATGTAATTTTTGTTGGGGGAGTGTCGTGACCCCAGTGCATTATGGGTTTTTGGCCCACGAGGAAAAGCTAGCGACAAGACGACACGAGGCAACTTGTGAACTACATGTATAAGGTTATGTTAATAGTTTAACCAATAAAGAAGAGAACACCACACCTCTTCTTCACGTCGAATGTGGTGGCTTGACACCGACAAAAATCCTAAAGAAATCAAAAATCACATCATGTAATGTTTCAAAGTCTCTTAAACAATATTAAGAATTATCGACCTCAGCTTTTGTGGAAAAATTTGGATCAATTGATATGTGTTTTATATTTTTCGGGAACGTTTTTGGCAGACGGCATCGACCCCTTTTCGCGCGCTTTTCTTTGACAATTTTTGTCTGTTATTGGCGAAGTGTCCGCCATCTTGGATTCTTGAGAAAAGTTTTCAGTTACAAAGAAAGCTTGATTCTTATTGGCTGAAAACATTTCTTTTGTTTCTTAGCCAATCAAAAGCGCAAATTTGATTGTAATTGCACTGATATTACAGCTTTTTGCACTGTTCAATCTGTTGTAATTGCACTGCAGAAATGTAATTGCACTGAATTAAGAATTAATTGAGATGTTATCAGCCAATCAGAATTGATTAATTTTCATGTATATTATTAAGGCTGATATCAACCTGCTAAGAACCAATCAGATTGCAGGATTCACTTGTGATTTCAAAATAGATATAATTAATCTATTTATAAGGCAAAATTACTCTAATTATTCTTCTATTCGAAAATAGAGAAGGATGTCTGTATGGTGGTTCAATCTATTGTGTTCGCGATTTTTATTCTGATAGCTTTGATGATCTGAAAAATTACCTACGTGTTACATTACAATTCAACCAACTGAACCCAAACCGCAAAGRTTGACATCCTGAAGTTAGTTCTTTCCAGAGGTCCGGTGCCTTATGTATAAAAATAACCAGATTTCAAAGTTTTGTATAAATATTACTAGTGTGCGGTGCATTAGATACTTTTTAGTCTGAAAGTTATTTCCTCAGCATTTTTGTAGATTTCAGCAGTCTCCACAGGCTGATACACATTTGAGTTTATGCTTGCGACAAATGCAGCTGTTTCTTCCGCATGGGTTCTTCTTGGTTCTCAACAGCCCCTCTGGTGCTGCATCCAAGGTGCTTCATCCAAGTCTGTAAATATTGGACCAAGGTGGCTGTCATCGCCTTTCGAACCCCACTGAGTTGCCTCCAACGGTCTCGCTCTTTCAACAATGTCAAGCCTGGTTGTGATATGTTGACCTCTGAATAGAAATGAATCTCGGCCATGTCTTGCCTCCAGTCGTACATCAGAAGAACTAGAATATCTGTATCATCAKCTACAACCGTRGTTTMTCTCCCTTCTCTTGCAAATTGAAGTGTGCGCTTTCTCCTATCATCGTATCACATGTCCATCATCTTCCCAGATTTTACTCAGCAATGCAATAAACTGCCTCTTGCTGAAATAGGAACAACTGTTGGTCACTGTGGACCTTGGTAGACTTGCAAAGCCGTATATCAGTGAATGTTTTACCCCTTCTTTGATGATGCTCATGATCCTTATAGTTGAGTCCATACCCATCAAATACAACACAGCAATCACCTTATCTTGTTAGTTGATGTATTGACTATGTAATGATCTCTTTATAAATCGCTTTCTTCTGCCACTTCACTCCATGTAAAAGGACCCTACTATCAATAACATACATGGCGTCAGGGTTTTGCATTGAAAAACTGACACCATTTTGCAAGGATTTAGCTAGTTGTGACTTCTGAACCTTGCGCATGAATCAATCTTTGAAGAGACGTTGGTATGGTTGCAAGCTCATCTCAAACGTATGTCGCTTTCACGTTGTGCAATTGCAATGAATCGCTGGAAAAGACGGTTCAGGTCGATGTGCACCTTTTGTTTATCAATTTTCATTCCTGGTGAAAGGGATTCTAAGGACTTATCTTGATCATTTCTTTTGATTGAAGCTTCTGCAACGTAAGCGTTAGTTATAACACTCATGCATAAAACATCAGTGTTGTAACTGATTTACAGACATTTTTAGACTCTCATCATAGAACTTCACTAGGTCTCGAGTTAAAATTACTTATTTGCAGAGTCACAGTACACTAAAACATAGTGGCGCTTGGATGTGGGAAACCAAGTTGATTACTGCTCATGCTCAGATGGAGATATCTTCATCAATTATTCATTTTTGATATTTTTTTATTTATTTCATGTTTATTGTAGTTTCTTAGGTTTGGGTTTTAGAAGTCATTTAAAAAACTCGTAGTTCGTGTTTTATCGTGGATATAAACACTCGGCCTTCGGCCTCGTGTTTATATCTCACGATAAANGAAGGGCGAAAATGGAAAAACTGGCTGGATTCGTCCAGAGTGATTCGAACGTGTCGTCACGCGTATCTACTTGAATATTTCTGAATACGTGAAATATACGGGTCCGTTTTCAAGAGTATTCTTTTCGAATATTTGCCTTTTGGCACAGTGGAAGCCAAAGCCAGGGGAGCTGAGCCTAGAGAACTCATGAAACTCTTAAACGAAGAGCGGGAAGTCCTTAGAAATATTGGTTCTTGGTATTCAGGAGGTCATTCTTCGCGGTATATTGATTTCAGTTCGACTCCCGTCCCTATGCCCGTCAAAAGGACGGACGTCACTCCCAAAACCTCCAGAACAAGACGACCCCCAAGGTTTACACCCCGTCGGACTCTCAGTGGATCCCCCTCAGTTTCAAAGGCCACAGAACCCATAAGAAACATTAAACTACAACTTTATGTTTATTTTTAAAAAAATGAAAATGAGATAGATTTATACATTGAATTCAAGACGTCATTGTAATGGTCCTAATACACGAGTCTTCCTATAGTGATAAAAAAATTAAAATAAAATAAAGCAATAAAAGTTTATTTCAACGCTCCATGAGAGCCTATTGGTTTGTACCCATAAGGGACACTCGTGTTTCCGTGTCGAACTCTCTTATCAAAACGAAGTCGGGCTATCTTCTCACTATCTAAAACGGTCTTCAGTTCAAACGTTTTTCGATCTCGGCTGATTTGAGGGTTGGGCACGTTAACCAAGTGGTCCTCTCGCTCTACCATTTCGAGCATGCTTTCGAGGTTAATGGCGCCTTGCGTGGTGTAATTGTTGCGTATTCCTTTAAACTTGCAAGCGCCATCTCCTTGCAGCGTGTGATACGCATAGGCTTTAGGAGCCACGGCTACAAACTCATGACTAATGTGATCGTCGGGCTTCAATTCAGACGTTAACTCGCCCAAACTGTCGCCTAGCGGTAATGTAGCCTGGCCAGGTTCTTGCGAGTAGATGATGAAATCGGTGTCTGTGTACAAGATTTGAGTCGGGTCTAGCTTTCTGCATTCTCTGTAAAGAATCGTACGAGCCCAGGCAGTCGTCCAGGCAGCCACCACAATGCTCCGCTTGGGGTTTTCTTGCACAAACTCGGTTATTTTCTGGTACTGAAACATGACCACGTCATCCGTAATCATGTAAATCTCGCGCACGTCGTTCTCGTTGCTGGTGATACACGTGTAGAACTCGTCGGGCTTGACGAAGAATTTTGTGGTCTTGGAGTGTGGTTTTTCTCCCAGTTTACCCCACAGACTGTTGGCAACGAGTTTAGCGACGGTTCGACGAGGACCGTTCTTAACAATATTCTCGGAATCGAGCTGGATGCCCGTCTTTCTCTCGTATTCCTCCAAATAGGTTTGTCTGTCTTCTTCCGTTTTCACATGACCAGGCCATCCTGAGGCTTCTTGTTTGTCTTTCATGCAATACATGACAAACGACCGAAACAAGTCCTTTCCTCGCTCTTCGTACTGCCAGACCTCATAGATCTCCAGCATTCTGTAACCCATCTCCTGAGCCAAATGAAGTTCCAGGGTAGACCACGTGCCCACCACACCTCTTTCCAGGTCGGAGTGATCGCATTCACGAATTTCGTTTTCCGCGCACGGCACACACAGAGGAAACATCAATTTTGAGCGCACTTTCACGGGAAGAACAGGAAACAACAGATCGGTGGGCGGTAGCACCATGCACTTTACAAATCCATAGGATTCTCGAACGACGTCTTCAGGATTTCGTCCTTCGAAGCAGGTCATGACTTTGGGATGACCGTAGGGGTACTCGTGCGTTTGGCAAAAGGGATAGAGAGACGTAAAGTCCACGTAGTGAATCTTTTCGTCTGGTTTGACTTTTCTGTAGAGTACCAACGGTCCACATCTCCCACCATGCATTGCGTCCCTCGCGTCCAGGGGTTTGTGGTGCTCAAACTCTGGATACATCAGGGGTTTGGATATTTTTTCGAGTTCTTGAAATTCGTGTTCCCACATCTCTACGACCACGTGTCCACGCGACTCAAGAAATCACGTCTTGGCTTGAGTCTCGCGATACAGCTCATGCATCGTTCTCTGGTTGAAGGGATTGCGCGTCGTTCTTCGGGGATAACACAGCAAACACCCGTGGTACAGGCATCCCTTTAGAGATCGGGGAGAAAACAAATGAAAATCAGTTCATGATTCATAACGTTACAAACATCCCGACGTCACCTACCTGAAATTGGTACACGACCCCATCTTGCGGGTTGTATCCATCCACCCTGATTCCACTCACTTCGCACTCTCCTTGAGGATGAAGGACACTGCGAAAGCTGCCCCAATCGATTTTGTTTTCATAGGCCAGGCGATAAAACCACTTCAGACAGAGGGTCGAGTTGTTTTCGCGCTTTCTATACCCACCTGTCCGTGAACATATCATTATTATTAGTAGGTGTAGTAGTGCTAGGATCCCATCAAGACGAGTCTACTTTAATTAGGGTTTTAAGCAACAGGTGCCTTATTTTCTATTCTATAGAGTCTGCACGCTTTACCTGAGGGTACGCTTCCGATGCTTTCGGGCATCATGTGATTCTGCATGTAATTTTTCATCACAAACGACGCCAAAGTACTGCACTCCGTCAGCGGATCAATGTAGCACTTTTGGACAGCCACTTCGCGGTACTTTAGCATGGCCAGTGCTAGGACTTCTACGTCACGTTCGCAATACAAGTCCTTTACCTTCTCGAGGTCAAACTCGTCGTCTTTGTGAGCTTCGTACCACGTTTCAAATTCTTCTCTTTCTTTGACAGCCATAAAGTCTGTGTTGTAGTAAGTTTTGGCGGGCATGGGTCCCACGTATCCCTTGTTACTTTTGGTGTTGAACTGATGTAGAAAGTAGTCTTTGCGCACGTCTAGATCAAACATGGAAGACATCTTGGCCAGTGAGGTTGGTATAAAATTCAAGGTATCCTTAAACGTAATCGACAACAAGGGCAGAGACATGTACATGATTTTACCCCCATTCATCACGACCTCGGGTGTTCTGCCGTGCTCTAGAAGCCACTTTAAACAAAATTGACCGTCATAGGAGCGGAAATTGTGGCTGTARCAATGTGTATTTATGTGCTGGGGCGATATAAGCCAGCCCATGAAATCGTCGATGTTGTAAAACGTTTTCATGCGCTTACCCATTCCGTCCTCGGGGCACGGAGAAGTCAAAGCCAGGTCCTTGCATGTGTTACACACGTGCAAAGCCTTTACCAACTCCACCTGGTRGGATTCCCCCGGCTCAAACGCATAGCATTCAAAGTCAAATACACAAAATCGAAACTTGTACGGGGGGGCCTCGGGTTTCGGTATGGGCTGTATATAACACCGATGATCACTCCCCACCATCTCTAAACACATTCTACACCACTTTTCTCCACACGTGTGCATTGCTAGCGTTCTCCACACCCTACCCGTTTGAGAGCGTTTRATCAATAAATCCACTTTCTTAAAACACTTTGAACATCTTTTGTACCTTTGACATATTGAATAATACTCTCTAATCCTCTCCTTCCCCTCCTCGTCACTCCCTTCGTCACTCCCTTTGTCCTCGTCCTCGTCCTCATTCTCTATTTCTTTCTATTTGTCGGCTTTCTTTCGCTTCTTCGGCACCAATTGCCGGGTCTCAAAATGGCTCGCAAAACACTCGCTACTACGTGCCCCCACATTGACTGGAAGTGTGCAAAATATTGTTGGACTTTGACGAAAAYGGACATTCTGTGGCTTTACGTCGACAGTCCAAGCAACGTTTTTTACACTTGTGGTCTTCATTGCACGTCGAAGAATCACACATTTCACAGTATCTGGCTTTAACATAAAAACCCTTAATGGACGTGATRCAATAATAATGGTGGTCCTCGTGATAAAGATAGAGGTGTGATAAGTCTTCTTTGTGGTCAAAGAGACTGATGTCGCCGCGGTAACCTACTTGATTTCCCATGGAATAATAGACCACGTGAAGCAAGTATCTACCGTAATGACTAATGAGCGCTGCTTGAAAGGCGTCCAGTTCCTCACGTCCACAAGGCCSCTCCTCCACMCTCGCTAGACAGTGTAAATCCTTAGCCCTTTCTGTCAATCCCTTTAACCCTAAAGCCTTTTCTTTCTGTGCGCATTGCATGGCTTGGACAAKAGCTGTTGCGCAGCAAAGTCCGTCCGGTCCCAGGTTTCYCAGYACRCTTTSTTTGTTCACAAAAAAGAAGGCAKGATCCCTGAAAATCCGCCCTCCCTTTGTCTGTWCGGATTGTTGTACTTTTGCCCAGACCTTCTCSTTCTCTTTAAACGCTTTCTTCTCACACAAATGTCCCTCTAGTTGCCTTTTGAAATCGCGTTTTCTCTTCATGCTACATTCTGACCGYCCGTAGAGGCACTTACAGTTCTCACAAAACCCTATAAAGAGTTGCGACGCTGTAAAAGATGTCAGGGATTTGCCTGTAAAGTACAACCTTTTYCCCTYGTTTTGTACATACGCCACAAACGCATAGGGTGACCCCACCTCACCCTCCTTGTTGGGATGAATGTACACCACTTTGTCCAGCACTTGATCTGGCACAATTTCTAATACCACTAAACGACACCCCGTTTCGGCCTGTAAAATAGTTCCCCACACCTCATAACTTTCATCCTCCTTAGACACGGAATGCATAAAGCACAGCTCATAAAAACACACTTCCTCCTCTGTAGTACGGYCTCCCCTCCTAATAAAGACTCTCTCGAGGGAATGAAACACCCACGATGAATGGTAATACATCATGTACACGGTCACAGATCCCCCTATCGACCGGTCGGGATGGTTATGAACATTATACTTCCCCCCAAAGAACACAGCCTGCGGATCTGACYTCTTGGCAGCCAACCAGTCCTCTACCGAACCGCTCCCTCGACTTTGCGGGTCTACTACCAAAGTCACTTCTACTTTGAAACGTCCTTTTAGCAAAAACTCTTTATTGGACTGTGCTATTTTTTCTATCTTGTCTTGTATGCGTGCGATACTCAAATCAGCGACAGGCATCAAGGGCATCACAATATCGTCAACCAGTCGTTCGCTTATTAATCTAAAGAACACTAAATCCTCACCGTCTGCGTCCACTAACACAGTGTCTAAAATTTCATCGATGTTTTTGACTGCCTGCGCGATCGCCTGTTGTACATACGATCTCTACCGTGTAGGTTGATGATTTCATGTTAAACTTTGTGTTCTTCTTTTGCGACACTTTGGTAATACGCATTCCCTCTACAGCTCCATCGTGTTCGTTTGCGGGTCCTGTTTGTTCTGAGAGTTGTGTATCGGCTGTCGTTTGCACGGCCTGCTGATTCCTGGTTTGCGATCT